ACCTGAAGGACGGGCTGCGCCATCCGCCCAACGACCGCCTCAGCGTCACCCTCGACGAGCACAGCAACAGCCGCTGGGAGGAGCCCATGGTGCGCCCCGACCGATACGTGCACGCCGAGTTCCAGGCCGACGGGGGCGGCGGGGAGCCGCCGGCCAGGGAATACATCCGGGCTTGGACTAAGTGGAACGGGTACTCCTTCAACGCGCAGGCGTTCATCGACCTGGTGACGGACGAGGTGGTCATGGAAGGCGAGCGGCGGCCCCGGCAACGCATCAAGCTCCGGGTGGTCAGCAGGCAGGAACTCAGTCCTCTGGTGGGAGACGCGAATGCGACGGCGACGGCGACGGCGACGACAACGAGTACGGGCGGGTCTGTGGCTTTGGTGCTCCGCAAGCGCATCCGCGACCGCGAGGGTCAGGAGATGGAGGACGGAGACCGCGCCTTCACGGCCAGCCGTGTCGCGCTCTGGCCCCCGGACGACGCGCCCCAGGACCTGCACGAGATCCTCTGCCCCGAGGGCCAGCCCGGCGACGTCAAGGCCATGCTGGGCGACGAGGGCATCGTGTACATGGCCGGCCCGCCCCGCGCGCCGGGCTCGGCGGAGCGGGCGCTGGTCTTTGTCGGCTTCGACCCGACCTTTGGGTTCCAGGGCATGCAGCGGCTGGATGGGAGTCCCGCGGTGCCGAAATCGGAGAAGAAGAGGAAGGTGGACCGCTACGAGCTCAACGAGACACCGCAATCTGTCAGTCTCGAGAGCCAGGGCCAGAGCCAGGGCCAGGGAATGGGAATCGACCTCGACCCCGCGGATCGTACAAAGCGGCTGAAGCTGGGGGCGCAGGTCAAACTCGCCGTGGGAGATTCGACGTCTGCCCGGTCCCGGGGCGACGAGCAGGGGGACCTCGCCGTTCTCCCGCAGGGCCACAACATGGCACAGGCGCTGATCGACGAGTCCGAGGACTGGCAGCCTCCGCTTGCCTCGCGCGCAGAGTTGCCCGCGATGTCCCAGCCCCAGAGACCCTTGCAGGCGGCAGTCTCGAGCCCGAGCCCGAGCCCGAGCCGGGACGATCTCTCGCAGTGGCAGACCAGCGGGAAGCCCGGTAGAGGCAAGGCCCCGGCACCTCCCAACCTTGGCCAGACACGGCAAGAGCGGGTAATGTACATGTCTATCGGCAGGGGATATTGGCTGCGCTAGGCAGGGGTTTTAGAACGCCATCTGTTTGACAGGAACAAGGAGTGCACGTGACTGAACACATACGCTATGTTACACATCGACCCTGCCTATGTTCCACACACACACTACGGGGTAACAGCGGGCAACACCGGCGGCCCCATCGGCCCCCGCATCTATCTGCATTGCCGGACGATTCAGGACATGTAGATCAAACAAAGACAGAGTCTCGATGCCCATGTCCGAGAGGGGGAGAGAGGGGTGGGGGAGGGGACACCCAACGGGAAAGGCCAGAGAAGGTGCCTGTCACGACCGTTGGCCCCCTCTGTCTGGACCTCGGACCTTTTTGATCTATATAGCCTGCGTCGTGCACAGCGAGCGCACCATCGAAAGATTCATTACCGTGCCGGGGTCGTGGTGAACCGTCGCCTCTTGCCTGAGGGGAGCGAAGCCAGCATACTCGCCACCGGGCGGGATCGATTCAAGATGGCCGCTTTGGTCCATTAGCAGACCCCATTGCGACTCAGAGACCGCATCGTACGGGGGAAATCGAGCTTGCCCACAACTGTCGTATACCGGTGGACCGCCCAGAATTGGAGGATGTCCCCAGTAATGAGTCGCCTGGATTTCTTGGAAGTCCCCGAGTTGAATCGAATCAAACCCTACACTGGGCAGCGCCATTTGATGACCAGGCTCGGGCAATGGGGTCGAAAGAGCCAGTGGAGGACATTGGTCATGAAAGCTCTGCGAGTCGGGTCCGGTCGGGGCACTGCTGAGACGTGGATCATGGAAAGCTGCCATAGCTTGAACGTAATGATGTTCTGCACCGTCATACCAACTTGCACGTCTCTGCTCCGAGTTGCTCGGAGCTATGTCCTTCAACTCGAACATTTGTCGTTTGTTGGCACCTATCTTCCCCTCAAGGCTTGGTCTTCTGCGACGCTTCAGGCCGGTGACTTTCCTCCTTACCTCGGCCGACGGATCGGTCGAGGGTGCCGCCAGAGGGGTAACTTCTCCAGTGAGCGTTGTCGGGCACGTCACGGCCGGCCCGACAGCGAGACCGGTGGCGGGGGTGGGAGGGTGTTCAAGCTCTCGGATTCTTTCGACAACCAGATCGAGGGACTTCTTGGCCAGCTCCGCAACTCCGGAGGCCTGTCCAGCTTTCGCCAGATTTTTGAAGATTTCTAGGGTCCGCTCCACACGCTTCGAACCTATACTCACACCCACCTCCTGGCGGATGGTAGCAATGCCCAACATAACGGCGGCGCAAAAGACACCAAAACACCGTGACCAGGATGAAGCGGTCTCGGTCGGGTCGAGGCTATAGGTCGAGTCGAACATTTCAGTAATCATTCGAGAACACTTCAACAACTCCCTGTACTTGGCTCTTTTGGCTGATGTGTGCTGATTGTGCATCGACCGCAACATCTGGCAATGCAGCACCATCAGCATCAGTTGGACGTCAATATGATGTTGGGTAATTGCAATGGACAGCGAAGTGTCAGAAGCGCCGGTTGGAGGAATGGGCGACAGCTTCGACTGCAGTTGGCACAGTCGACTCAGGTACGCTTCTAACATGCTCCCTCTCTCCTGGAAAGACATCATTTGCGGGTCATTCTTGCCACGGTTGAAGCGATCCAACACTTCCATCATGTACTGTGAGAAGTCGTGGGCGTTCTCCTGCAGGTCCTGTTCTTCTTGCCGCGAGGCGGTTGGGGACGGCCGGGGAATGCCATGAAAAGGGGCAATAAAAGGACAGCGACCCAAGAGAAAGCTCAGCTGGACATCGAGGTCGACGAGCAGCCAGCAGAGGTAGCGCCTGGGTTGCGAATCCTCATCGGCCTCGGCTGTGGGGAGGATCACGTCCGCGTCCACTTCCCCAAGATAAGCTCAATATGCCCGTCGAACACGGAAGACTTGCCAACACTTACAACCGAGAATTTCCGCATCACGGACGAGGCTCGGAAAGGCAGCCCAGGCCTGCGTTGCCTTTCCAGCAGCGAGTAAATCTCGCACAGACCTATACTTCTTGTAGAGAGGTAGAAGACGAGGCGGCAACTCGACGTCGGGGTTGTCTCCTGGTTGGCCGGTGCGGGCCTGGTCCGTCGCCGGTTCATCGTCAGCGGCGCGACCTTCCCACTTGAAGACCCAGGTAGGACGAATCGAGTCTAAGATCTCCCAGAATCGCCCATTTGTCGGCAGAAGAGACTTGAACTGTACGGGGAGTTAGCCTTCTGACATTGGGAGACTCGAGGGCTTCAATAAGCACTTCGTCTATGCTTCCGGATAGCGACAGGGGCCCACAGAAGTTCTGCTGCCGATTTGCGAGCGCACGGGCTCCTGCAACCGCGCTGTGGTTGTGTCGCGAGTCATGGCCTTGCGTGGGCTAGATCCTTCATCAGAAATGTTCATCTGTTCATGTGTTGCCGTCCCGGTACTGACATGGTTCTTTGGGAAAGAAG